TTCCCCTATAACATAGCTCTCACGCCTTTAGAATGCATAACAACCACCAGTTACGAAACCGTTGAGAGTGCAGATTCCTGTTATTACCCCGGATATTTTGATTTAATGGGTCAGGAGCTCGGGAATCTCGAGTAATTCTCTTACAAAAACATTGCCCTCTGAAGTGTAGAATCAAACCTAATTTTTTCTACAACCCTTCCCCTAACTCCTACACAGGAATTTCTATATTTCTTTTGGGTTTCCTTAAAGAGGGGTATATCTGAGTTCCAAATGAAGAAACAGACATTGTAAAGGAATTTTAAAAGAGTGACTGAAACTTGTCGTAAACATATAGATGCGAAATGTGTAGGACAAAGACAGTATTTAAGTCAAGGAAACATGCAGAAACCTTCTAGTTGGCATAATGGACAAGCAGTAACACCACATTTACTTGAGACTCATTGACTGCAAATAACAGAAACTTGTTAAGCTGGTTTAAGCACAAGATGAGAATTTATGAGGAGTCAGGCAAGTCTCATGAAACCTAAGGTGGGAAGTGCAGCCAGGTGTCCCAAGGCTCCAAATAGAAGTTTGGATGGAAATGCTGTGAGGAGCAGGTGACTCTCTCTAGCTCTGCTGGGCTTTGTCTTGCTCCTCTCTGGCTCACTGTGTATTTGGTTCATTCTTTTGCTCTCTTTCTCTGCAAAAGTTTTTTCTCTTCTTGTCCATGACGGGAATCAAGGGTGGCCACCTTGCTCCTAGCTATGCATCATTTCTCAGACCACATCCCAGGCAAAAAGATACGTTGGCATCACCCCTATTGATGGATTGGTTTCCACGGAGCCAGGTGCCCACTGTTCCAACTAACTGTGCCAATAGAAGGAGAGAGCCACATGAAGCAAACTAGTTTTAGGTTGCCACAGCGCTGGGTGTGCCCAGTTCTCAGCGAAGAGGAGTGAGGGCGGGGCGCTTGCCCCAAAATACGTGCGTACTACATTCCATACCTGCCAGAGAAAACCCAAGTTTTCTTGGGTAGAGAGAGTAACCCAAGTTCCTGGGTCCAGCCTCTGGTAAAGTCCCTCTGTACTTATGTCCTCTGGTCCCATGAGTGACTGGTGCATATTTATAATATAGGTCCCTTTTGTTATTAAGGTAGTTTAAATAGGTTTCTATTATTTGTACCCATCCTGACTGAGTAGTTTATCTAGATAGGCAGTCCAATGCTTAATAGGGTCCTATATGAATTGACTCCAGTCTACAACACATGCTTCTGGATTTCCAGTGGCCAGAAAGTTTCTTATTAGTGTTTTAAAGTTTTCAAAGGCTCTTTTTCATGCCTTATTGGTGACCCCAGCAAAACGTTAGAATTCTATAAAGGTGGGACCTAAGAAAACAAAGTTTAACCTCTACTATTTACAGCTGAGGAAACTGAGGCCCAGGGAGAGTCCCTAGGGTCACACAGTGAGTGAGTCAGTGGTTGTTGGCAGTCCTGTCCCGGGATGTTCTCTCGTTACTTCTTTGCTCAAATTATAGGGCTCCTCCTTTCAATCTCTGTGCCCCTCCCATCTTTCCATAACCTACTTTCCCCATTCCAGAAATAATAATAAAGACAGCAACATCGATGATAAGTGCTAACATTTGGTGAGTGCCTACTATGTACCAGGAACATACATACCTCAAATTCATTATTTCATTTCCTTCTTTCAACTATAACCTTGAACACACACATACACACACACACATCTTATAAATCAGGAAGCTGATTAAAGTGTCAAGTAACAAATAGTGTCAAGTTACACAAACAGGAGTAGGAAGAGGGAGATCTGAACTTGACTAGATAGGGTCATCCCGCCAAAAGTCCTCAGAGTGTTCTGTATTTTTCCTCAGAACACTGAGATGGTTTGTGAGGAGATATTTGGGTGATTGTGTGTAGGTGTCTTCCTAATAGATTGAAGCACATGGGGGAGGAACTGTATTCACTGATGTTCGACTTAAGCCAGAAGGCATATGAGTGGCTTGCAGGTATCAAATTAGGTATTCTATCAAAGGAAAGATTTCTCAAAAACCGGAAACTAGAATTCGAGTTGGGGGCTTCACATTACACACCTTTCTCAAAGGACCACGGGAAAAGTTTGGGACACTGTAATTTCCTACTGTGACTGAGCAGAATGTGTCAGATCTTTTATTGTCCTGGTGTCTATTTCCAAGCTTTTGCTCAAATGACCAGGGTCATCAGAAGGACAGCCACACTTCCCCCTGACTTGGCAGCCAGACAGAAAGGATTTGCCACCATGAAAGGCGGTTACTGGTCACTGTTAGTATTTTTGTGATTTAAATTAGTTCATGAAGAAACACACTCGGGTACTCATTTTAGGAAAAAAAGCCAAAAACACAAAAACAAACAAATAAAGCCATTCTAGTCGTCACTCTCTAGCTCAGAGTGTCTCCATTCATTTAACTTTTCATTTTTAGATCCTGTTCTCTAACTCTTTAAATACATATTACCTTTCTTTCATTTCTCATCAAACACTTCATAACTCAAAATTTGCAAGATATGAAACCAGACAAAAAGCCAATATTAGACCTAACATTTGTTGAATGACAGACATTGCGTAGGAATAAGATTCTCTTTCAGCCAGGCTTGTTTAAACACCTCCATGTCTGGAAAAAACTGACACGTGCCCAGAGCTTACTCTGCTGACAGCTAGAATTCATCTCTCTTCTCACACTGTGTTAGACTTTCATCTCCAGCTATGGTGCTACTTTGGAAAGGGCTTTCTGCTAAGGAAATATTGCACATACAGAGGAATTTCTTTTGATGAGGAGCCACAAGCCCTGACTGTCACAAATCCACTTGATGACCTGGAACAAGCTCCCTGTATCTTAGTTTCCTCCTCTCCAAATGAAGGATGGAGTCTGAGACTTGGTGGTTTCAACAGCTCAATAGAGTTGACGGGCTGACACAAGTATCATTGCCCCCTCATGTCTAAAAAGCTAATATCACAGTCAAGTTTGCAAAAGTATGCATCAAATCCAGTGAGACATCCTTTTGGGGGTGCCTCTTGATTCAGTCTGATGAATCTTAAACAAAGTAGCAGAACATTTTCTAGAAAAGTGCTGTGGGGAGCTGAGACTTAGAGGGTCTATGTAATAATCAGCTAAATTCTATTTCAGAATGTGTTGTTATATCATTTATAAGACTGATTTTTTTAAAAAGGAAGGTTTTAAATGGCTATAAGATGGACAATGTCGGTGAGAGAGGGAAAAGTTATAAACTATGAACTTACTATCTCTCATCAGTGAGAAGAGTTTGCATTACAAAAGAGTCTAGGAATTAGCAGGACAGCCTAAGAGGGGGTTCAGGAGTGAAGGGAAATGGGAGGCTCTTAAAAACCATTTTCTGATTAAGACTGTGCTTGCATGAGAGACAGATGACGCATCTAGTGAAAACTAAATTGGAGTCCACAGGGGAGAACATTTAGGAACAAGGGAAAATAGCAATCTTGCAACATGAAGGAACATGGATTGAAGTGCTGAATTAAAAGAGCTTGAAGAAAGAGGGTTTGGAGGCAGATGAAAGTATGTAGGCACTGCTGTCTTCTGCTTCCAGCTGGCCCAACCAGGATCTTTTGGGGATATTGATATTGATGGTGCTCAGGGCAAGCTACCCCAGGAGGCACCACTCTGGTATGCGGATTATTTCGAGCTGAAGACAATAAGGACTCAGAGAACTCAGGAAGAATATTTGAGTTTCCCCTCCCAAACTGCCTAAAGAATTTAAAACAAAAGATTTGTTTCAGGAAGGAGTTATTATCTTGATGGCTGTAAAGATAATGTAGGATAGAGGTTACAATAGGAAAGGCACCAAACCTATTTTATCAAAAACTCTGTCTCTCCCTGACCACATTATCTATAGATGACCCCGAAAAGAATTGTCTTCCTGCCCTCTGAAGTCCCAGACCACTACCCATCCCCAACACGTTCCTTGCCTTTAGCTGCAATACTTAAGCAAGCAGCTTAGACAGAGGGACGAGTTGCTCATTTCTGAGTTTCTCCCATGTATACATGTTATTAAACTTGGTATTATTTTCTCCTGCTAACCTGTCTTGTTGATTATTTGCCCAGCCATAAGAACCTTAGGGAAAAGGGCAGAGGGAGATTCTCCCTCTCCCCCGACAATATGGACATTAGTAAAGAGAAGATGTCTCTCTTCATTTGAGATCATAGGCCCTGAAGGTCACATATACCTCAAACTATTCTATGGCCATCTTTGTCAGTATATAGAGAGTCTCTATCTGGGTATAAAGACCATATATAGTGAAACATTATTTCTCAAACCATAATCACTAGAAAAGCAATCACATGCTTGGATGGTGTGGTAGTATCAAATTGCTCTAAAAATTTATAAATGCCTACTCTCGAGTTCAGTCATACTTATTCTATCACAGGCAGATAATGAATAGTCTTCAGGCCAGAACCAGTCTGCAGACCATACTTTGAGTAGCACTGCAGTAAAGCAGGGTTAAAAGATAAAGAGAAACAGATTCCTAATTATTGTTTGAGTACCTGGATCCATCCATGCCCAAAGTAAGAATGACCCTGAAATGGCTTTTATAAGCTACTTAATTTACGTCAAGTTGGGTTTCTGTCACTGCAAACTGAAAGAGTCTTGACTAAAATGCATGGTTAGGATGCTGCACCTCATTCTTTTAAAACTATGGCTAGCATGATTAATCCATCACAGCATCTTTTCCACCATACTCAGACACAGTCTGAGTCCTTCTAAATGGAGTATTCAATGCAGCCTTCAGTTGATAATCAGAGTTTGCAAAGACATTTAAATCTCCCTGATACTCCTGAAGCCCTCTTCCTGAGATCCCACATTTAGTAAGCCCTTGCTTTTTTTTTGTTATGACTTATGTTTAACAAAGCAACTCCTTGCTCTTAATGGAAATTCCCTAGGTTTTGCTCCTTTTGCAGCCAAAAGCTAAACAGAATCCAACTGTGATTTCAGCTCTTACCTTTCGCAAATCATACACACTTAGGGCAATGGAGATAACAGACAAGATGATGATGGCCAAAGAGAATTCTATGTAACCTTGAGACATCCACAAAGTTAGGGTAAAGACTTGGAAGACATAGAATGGATTTAAAACCTGCAGATACAAAAACAGCATTTAAGTCACTTGCATGGACCTTAGTAGCAGTCAAGATAATATCATTTCTTTATAGAATGGTTTTTCCCATTTTTTACAACATACAACAACCTCTAATATTTACTTAGAAATCCATTAATTTTGGTGGAGACAGTGTCAAGCAAATAGGATATGATACGATGGAAGCAAAATTATTCTAAGCACTCAGAGCCATGCCCACAAATTGATTGTCCTTATTTATTTTGAATTTTCGACAATATTTTACCAATAACAAAAATCCACCAATTTACCTTTTTAAAAAGATTTACCCATAATGGAGGAGACACATGATTCAGTCTTTTTTTAAAACAAACTTCAATTTTAAACATTTTTATTGCAGGTTTCTTTGTCACGTAATCACACGCTTCAGGTTTTGTCAAGTTGTACGATGAAAATTAAAGATTCTAGTTTTATCCACGTAATTTTAAAATAACATACTCTTTATGTCACAGGTCTGAGCAAGATCTTCTGAGACTTAGTCGTCAGAGTGGGCCTTCCCTTGAATAGGAGGAAGAGTGAAGAGAAGGTCCTATCCAAACCTACAGTGAAAATCATGGGCAGAATGTATCACCAGCCACAAAGCTGGTGGCCATGCAGGTATTTTTGTGTAATACCTTCAACTTTTTTTATTCTCTCATTTCTCCCATTTTGGTCCTGCTGACTCTACTATTAATGGTGATAGCAGAGAGGGCAACCTGAGGGAGCTAGGGAAGGTCACATGACGTACACACGTAGTGTGAATTAAAGAGCCCATCTGAGCGAAACAAGGTTTCTTTTCTTGGTGAAGTGCTCTTTATGATTATTATGAACTAGATGAACTATTACCTAAAATACTGCTGCTCTTTCTTACCCCTACTTTCTATAATTCTCTAACAGATTAAATAAACTTCTACTTTACTCCTAAAAATGAACTGACATTTGGTTAATAAGTTAATAGGCTATGTCTTAAGAGTTTCTTAAACCCTTAGATATATTTTGTATATTAAAAAAGCTTTTTTTCCTTAACATTTCTTATTGTTTCCATTGCAACTCGCTTTTCTTACAAATTATAGCTCTTCTGTTTGCCTGACATAAAATGCTCTAATTGTAGATTATGCACTAATGATAATACGATTTTGAGCTTATATAAACTCAGTAGAAAATTGGTTAAATACTTCTCGTAGAAGAAAGAACACCATCATAATTAATTTAGCTCCCTTATTCAAAATTCTTTTGAAACCAAATGTGAAGAAGTAGTTTTACTTCCTTTTTTTCTGCTAAAGCACTAGTAAACAGGTGCCAGAAAATACCAGCACTATTTTCAAAATAGACCAAATCGACACCTGGGAATGTCTTTGGACAATTTGAAAATGTACTTGAGTAAAAAGTTTAGAAAGCTGCCGGCTTTTTGATAGTGGGGGAGACTGTGCATACGCGGGGGCAAGGAGTATATGGGAAATCTCTGTACCTTCCACTCAATTTCGCTGTGGATCTAAGAAAAAAGTCTAATAAAAATCTTATTTAAAAAAACAGATGACCATGCTCAAAAATAAAACGACCATCTTTCTAGATCAGAAATAGACTAGAAACATACAGCATTGAGTGGGGACTGACGTGATCAGTCTACTGGCTTCCAGACAAGGACTGGAGAGAGACAGCTAGGAGCTCAGTTGTAGGGGGAATAAGACAGAAAGTGTCCCATAAATGGCAGGGGACAAAACCCAAGCTTGCAGAGGAAAACAGGGGTAGCAGTGGGCTTCCCTTCCCCAAGAGCAGAAGCTAAAAAAAGTCACAACCACCAGCAGAGGGTGGAGTGGGAGAAAACAGAGTCCATTCTATCCTACCATGCTGCTGTGAACTTGGCTAAGCCCCAGGCTGGCTCAGGGCCTGCATCTAACAGATGCGCGTGGGACAGAGCCCAAATCTCCAATTTAAGTCCCGGTTCTGAACTGGGGACCCATGGGGACCAGTAAGTGGTCAATACAGAGCCATCAAAGAGGGAGAGTGAGCACAGAGAGAAAAGTGGAGGGGGAACGTCCTGCTTAAGGTAAGTTTACCAAAAAAAATGATAATGACTTAAAAGCACACAAAGAAAATATTCTTAAAAAAAAAAAAAGCTAACAAGGGAAGAAGTCACTCTCAAGAAAATGTAAATAATAGAACAATATAAAAATCTCAAAGAGATCACAGATGTAATAACATTGCGCTCCTCACCACCACGACCACCATCAATAACATAAGAAAACAAAACAAACAGAGAAGAGATTATGAAACAGGAAGCTTTCCTCACACCAGGAAGGGATTTTTAAAGCAGATTTGAATTTAAAACAAGTGGTGATTGAAAAGGACCAATTAGAAAGCCTGAAACAAAATGTATATATATATATTTATTAAAAAAAACCCCACCTCAATAGATAGGATAAGCGTAGAGTGAAGACAACAGGGAAATAACAAAAAGAAGTTGCACAAAACCCGGATTTTGTTCACATCAAAGTGTCCATGTGTTGTTTAAGATTCCCCTGAGTAGTAGGAAGTGAAAAGTAAAGATAGAAATTATTTTTTTTCAAAAAGAAAAGAAAACAGCTAGTTACCTGTTTAACAAGCAGCTTCCATATGGGTTCGATTTCAACCTCAATGGTATTGGGCCCGCACACTAATCTTCTGGAGGAGATGGGTCATCTGTTAGTGTCACACCTACAAGCTCATTGATAAGTGAGTACAGGCTAAACTAAGCGGAAGTCACTTCTCTACTCTTTAAGGATTTTGTGCCTTCAATTAAAAATTAATGTGCAAATCCTAAAATACTAATATATTTTTAAAATGAAAGTCAGTGTATGATGGACAAAATGGTTTTTCTGGTCACAAAATATCTTAAGTACCATACAACTCAAGAGTCAAAATGAAGTTAGAAAGGCATTTTGAGTTATTTTAAAAATAATTTGATTATACTCTAAGAGCAGCTAAAAAGACACAGAAATGAAGATGTTCCTGGAATTCACAGGCATTCTAGATTGTTTTTGATGTTAGAGACCATGTCTATCTTACCTTGGTATCTCCAGCACCTAGGACAGACTCTTAGTATAAGAACTCAACAAATACATGAATGAATGAGCCAACGAACTGAAAGATGATAGATATATGGTCTTCATGGCTAACACCTTGTAAATCCACACATATTACATTACAATAAGAAGACTTCATATTTGTACATGTTGCAATTTACAAAGTTCTCACAAAAGATTCTCTCATTTGATCATCACAGTAGTCCAAAGGAAAGGGCTAATATCCCCATTTTGCCAATGAGAAGGACTGTTCAGTGTGCGTGTTTTGCCAAAGGTGCATATATCTGATATTAGTCATGACAATGTAACTTTTAAGCAGAGATGACAGTGTCAGAAACTGCTGCACTTAACCTTTTATATGCATTATCTCTTTTAATCACCACATTATCCCTCTGAGATTTCATATTATCATCTTTATTGCAAGGAAAACTGAAGTGCAGATAAACTAATAACTTTCCCAGAGTCTCAGAGCTAGAAAGAAGCAGAGCCAGGCTTCACACCATGGTCTCTGTGACTCGACTTCACACTCTGCCCTCAGTAAGTACCAACGGCGAAAATCTGTGTGATAGATCTTTGGTCTAAGGTGTAACGGAGAGCTGAGCCCAAGTTTGTCTGACTTCAAGCTATGCTTTTCCAAGTACAATTATTGCTTGCAAGGGTCAGGTCTTCTGACTCCATGCTGTGAGAACACTGAGGTTCAGAGATGTTGGGAAGCAGACAGGTCAAACAGCATGTGCTGCTGTTTGACTTCACAAGTCCCTAAACATCCCATTGGGAAGAGACCATAACTCAAGCCACTTTGGTGTTCAGGATTCTTTTCCAGAATCTGTGGAAATAACCTGTTATTGGCCAACGGTCAGAACTTCT